GAGCTGATGGGGATTGTGACTTGGCTGCTGTCATGTGAGTGCTCTTCAGCAGCGAAGTCTAACCCTGTGCAGTGACCATTTCTCGGCTAATGAACAATTGGCTGGAGAGGCTTTGTCTGATACACAACATACAAATAATCACTTAAACAAGGGAGAGGAGAGGAAATATTCCATCTTTTCTGCCCCAGGCTCCCTGGAGTGAACACAATCCACCCCCACCCCCCACCCCCCACCACCACGCTGAGTCTTACACTAGCCCTCGGCTCCCCTCACTGTAGTGCTGTGATTAGGGCCAAATGCCTTCGGTCACTGAACAAGGAGCACAAACTTTCCTAAGCAAAGCAAGGGACATTCTGAGTGTGTGTGTGTGTGTGTGGCGGGAGGCGGGGGGGGGCGGGCGGCACAAAAATAAAAACAGGTGGTGACTCTGCTCTATTTCATGGTTTTAACTGTAACATTTTCCAGGCAAGTGTGTGAGTTGCTATCATTTTTAGTCCCTGAATTTATTAGGAGTGTACATAAGTCTCAAACAGAAGTGTAGAGATGTCACACCTGTCACAGTGCTACATGCAAACAAGAACAAATGCCCTTCTTTGCTATCAATTCTGGACTTTTGGCTTCTGGTAACCTCTCTCACCCGTCGTACCTCCACTTCTGGCTCAGTTATTAAAAACTTTAGACTTAATGTACTTAACATCTCCACAGAGACTTTGAAACATGAAATGCATTGGTATTTAGCAAATCTGGATGCTGACAACAGTGCTGCGAGGAAGGCATTAATTACCTCAATGTCACACAAAAGAAGGATGTGACTGAGGAGGTTACAAAGTTTACCTGGTGAAATACAGCAAGTGAATGGCAGAAATGGGATGCGAGTCCAGATCTCTTCCTTCAGTACCCTGTACATTTCCAAGCTCTCTCAAAAGTGATGGTGAGACTAACCATAACATGCTCTCCCAAAACTTCATTCATCTGGCACCTTCAAATCATGACAACAGCATATTAGGCATCTCCCTGGCATGCTGGTTTTAACACCACTTATGTCTCCAGGTGTCACCAACAAGCCATTTGGTGTTCCCTTCTTTGAGCTACAAATATATCCATTGCTTATGCCTGAGTTCCTGAGTCACTGGGGAACCTCCTTATTTATTCAATGGATTCAACAAATATTTATTGATTAATGATTTTGTACCAAACACCATTCTATGTGCTGGGGGTGCAGCAGTGACAGACTAGATTCTGCCTTCTAGAGTCTCTAGGAGAGTCTATGAAGCTGGGTCCTGCAGACCTTTTTCTGAAATTTAAGATACATTTTTTTCCCCTTCCAAAAGAATCCATCTATTGCCCAACTTTGCGAAACACTGCTCCAAGGATCTTAGGAGTTCAGAGAAAAGAGTCTATAAGATGTCCAGATAGACTTCCTTCAGGTCAGGGGGCTGTGAAGTCACTGACATTTGTCAGTATGAATGTGTGAACATTCTTCTGGAGAGAAGGTCTATAGGTTTTATAAGATCCTGAAAAAGATCTTAGATCTAAAACATTTTTATATCATACTTGGGAGTAGATGTGTGGCAGAAAGCAATTCTGGCCCAAATTTTAATAAGCATGAAGTGTCTGTGCAAGAGAAGGGAGAGGGGTGAGTACTCTTTCAGCCTCTCTCCTCGGTTCCAGCCACCACGCTGGACCCATCAGCTCAGGTGTTTTAGTCACTAGGAACCAGTGTGTTCTATAGTGATCCAGGAAATGCTAATGAAGTGCCTCCTGAGGGCAGCTTCAAGTTCCCAACTTCTTTGAAAAACTCCCTTAGTATATGGAGGGAGTTTTATGGCCTGGCCATAAATCTATTAGTTGTGTTTTAATAAACAGTGCTGGTAGCAGTTGGAGAGTGAAAATTCATAGGCAGTTCATGGATAGACAATGCTCTAGAAGATTAGAAATATCTGGGTATTTTTGGCAGGTCTATCTACCTAGCTGACTTTAATCTGCCCAAGGCTGCTCTGGCTACTCTCAATAACAGCAACTTCTTAATTTCCAATTCCTTTCACCTCATTGGCATATGTCAACCTCAGTCTAAAGACAACTTCAGAGTTTGTAAGGGCTCCTATGGGACTTCCAGGAAGGCATGGAAAGAACCACAGGAATTTTCTGTATGCATATAACAGTAGGAGACAGATGCTGGAGATTATCAGGGGACACTATCAGTAACAAGATTTTCAGAGAAGTTTCTTTGGGAAAAGCAGGTATGAGATAGAAATCTAAAAGATATAAGAACAGAAATGATGTCAGTCCTCACTTTAACAAGGGAAAATATGATAAAAAACATGAGTCTTTATTTTAATAAGGACTCAATTTTAATTAAAGGGAAATGATGAAGCCAATCATCTGGATCTAAAAATATTTACTTTATTCGAGTATAAGTTTGTAAATTGATCTCGCTGTCCACTGGATCAGCTACCCTCTTGTAAAAGAATCAGATGAGCCTTATGGTTTCTTAGAGTCTAACTCCCAACCTAGAAATTCACAGTGGGGTGAGTTGGTGCCCACCCCAATACTATGGAGTTGGGGCAAGGAGTGTGGAATCAGCTTCCTTGCCTGGCATTACCTCATCTTTTTTTATCCCAGTGGAGTACACATGGGATGCAAGTGGAGGTTTAAGCAGTTTTTAAACTTTAGGATTTTAAAACATCATAGCATGTTGGATTTGGTAGCTGTGTTCTGGTAGCAGATTTTTCTCCCTCATTTACATCGAGTGGTTGAGCTCACACTAGGTAGGACTTTTAGAAGGTCCCATATGGTAGCTGTTGCTCATTTTCCTACAGTTCTTCACCTCTCTGGGTCCTCTGTCTCTGTCCCCCCACCCAGCTCTCCCCTCAGTCCCAGAGCCAGCACCCCTCCCAGAAGCCCTTCACTCCCCAGGGAGTAATGGAGTGGAGTTCTTGTTCTCCCCTGTGTAACTTCTGGGTTTATCTGGATGCCAGGGGAGTCTTTCTGCACTAGATGTCTGCTCAGGATCTTATTGACACCACCAGGAAGGAGAGAGTGTTAGTCCTTCGGAAAGTGTAGGAGCTTCAACTCTTTTGCCTACCCCCCCCCCTTTTCTACAGCCAAGTTTTCTCCTGCAATAGCGAATGGCAAACCAACTGGCCACAGTGCAAAGTAACTTTTCTTTTGAAGACCTCTGAATCTAACACAGAGAATGTATTATTCTCCTATTAAGATGCCTCACTTCTTTCAAACTAACATTCCCACATGCTGGCTTTATTATGCTTAAGCTTATTCAAACCTTTCCCAACTTTTCCTTCCATTTCAACAGTCCCCACATTAGCTTATGATTCCTCCGGGTCATTTGGAGAAATGGCAGCCTACTCTCTATCTCTCTGCTTTTTTTCTCCCCCAAATAACAGGGTCAAGGGTTTCAGTTTATCCAGACATAGAAATATTGTATATGTCAAGCCAGCAGGATTTCTGGCGTTTAATGAAAACTGGATGGCACCTAAGGGGGAATTAAAAGTCACAATATCTTTCGTAACAAGAAATTCATCTAGTTACTAAAATTGTGAATTGTGCTCTAAGAGTCTCCAACATCAAATTTTCATACAGAAAAATGAAAAGACAAATTCTGAGATGTGGTATAGTTCTATACTGCATTAAAATATTAACAAAAGCTTAGAATATTTTCGTTTCATTGAAAACAAAACCAGATTGTTCTTATTTTGAACAATTTTCACTTCATATCTACAACTCATGACCGAATTCTACTGTGAACGCGGCCTTTCAAGACACTTCCAGACTATTCCTCCCTCAAGGAGTGTAACGCCACAGTGACAGGAAAGAGTTTAAGACAAGCGTTCAAATAAAAGACAAAGTAAGCTCCGTGCCACAAGAGAGAGAATCAGTGCCATGGAGACTCAAAGGGAAAAACAGGGCACCTAGCTGAGAGGATCTAGAAAAACCGAGGAGAATATGTCTGAGAGAGGCAGTGAGGCATGGATTGGTTTTATTGGATGACGCTTGGGGCAGAGAAAGAATTGTTTTCTCTTCGTTTCCCTCTTTCCCCTCCCCTACTCCTCCTCCGCCCTCCACTCCCCCGTCCTCCAGTTTCAACTCCTTTTAATACTTTCTGCTGATACCTGAGGAACCACAGGCATCAGCATAGTAAAGTTAAGATTCAACCTTGTGGTGCTCAGTTTTAGGATTCAGGTTCTTGGAATATATTGTCTAAAATTAGGAACTGCCTATAAGTCACTAAGTTTTTACTTGTACTTTCTATCAGTGACTTTTTTTTCTTCTGTTTTTGGCAGCCTTCACGATAAGCACAGAAGAATCTGTGCCAGCCCACACAATCCTATCATTAAGCAGTGGATGAAAAAACAAGCAGCCAAGAAAAATGTTAAAGGCAACATTTGCCATAAGAAGAAACTTAAGAGGAACAGTAAAAGAGCACATCGGAGGAAACAAAAAATTCATGGTGATAAAACTCCTTATTAGAGAGTGTGCAAATGAACCTATAAAGACGATTCCTGCAGTGAACTTGGCCATGATTGGTTGTAAATTGATCGTGTGACTAATCCTTCTTGGGAGACAACAGGGCAAAACAAAATAATTTTTTTTTAAAGAAACAATTATACAGTATGCAAAAGTAGCCAGTAATATACTCAGCTGAAGAAACTAAATGAAAAGATAATGTTTATCTTCACATAATATTTTAAGAACAACATACAGATATAATTTTTTCAACTTTTTTATTACAAACTTTTCCAAACTTACAGAAAAGTTGAAAGAATAGTACAATGAATGCCTGTATACTTATCACCTAGATTAATAATAGTTAATATTTTGCTACATTCGTTTTCTCTCTCACTGTGTGCGTATAAAACATTTTATATATATAATATAAGTAAATAACTTTTTTTTTGCTAAACCATCCAAAAATACATTGCAAACATCATGATACTTAACTCCTAATTTTTTTTCCTGTTACAACTTGGCATTCCTCAAGAATAAAGACATTTACTATATAATCACATAATCAGCTTTATACCTAAGAAGTTTACAATTTCATATGTATA